ATTCCGAAGTGAATAATGCATCAAACCATTGTGAAAAAATAGAGCAAAAGCCCATGCTGAAATAAAAGATCCAGGTCTCCACTAATTTTCTCCTGAAGGCTGCTTCCCAAAATATGTGGATGTGCCCTATTATAATCTGTCACAAAACTCTGCCCCCACACCTACTTCAGTGGTTCCAATATGTTTTACTAAGGCAACCTTCCAACTGCATTGAGTCTTTTTTGGGAACCACCATTACATATACGTATCCTGCGCCCTGGCACTGCAACCCTAACTGTGGCTTGGTGGACAGGTGATGGAGGGGCAGCAGGGCCCAACTTAAGAGGTGGTGTAAACCCAGGTGCAGGACAGGAGCCACTGCTGCAGGGTGAGCATCGGGTGGACTCACTCTGCACCAAGCCGTGAGAAGTGTACATGGGCCTAAGTCCCTGTGACCCAGAATGGGATGGTTTGGGAATCAGCTCTTTTAACTGGGAAACTGTAATGAAGCACTAGAGTAAAAGAAAAGAAGTTCAGAGGCCCCAGGCTCAGCACTAGAACGAGTGATAACATCTGGATCTAGGCATCATGTGCATGGAAAATGGTGTTATCCCATACTGAACATAATTTATGTATATTATTATTATTACTATTATTGTTTGGGGGAAAAGATTCCCAATTACTTGATTTTATTTTTCAGTCTGTAGCTTGGTATAGTTATTGATAGGGGAAAAAAAACTATAATCCAATTTTAGGAAATTGACTCCTCTCCTGTTTCTAATGCAGCCTGAAATAATCCTGTTTCCTAATGTTGACTACATGTAGGAGCGCAGGCAAATTATCACCTGTTAAGAAATGTTTCAAGGGTTATGATGCATTTTCCTCTTTCTTGTATATTTATCAAAGGTGCTTATATTTAATGTTATAGGCCTAATCTTGAAAGCCAATTGACATCAATGATTTGAGTGAGGACTCAGCTCCTCTTGGGAACAGGCCCTATTGTAATTCCTCAAGAGACCCAATTAACCATAGAGGTATCTAGGATGTACTAGAAACAAGCAGGATGAATTCCTCTTGCCTCTATGTCTAAAGGAGCAGGAGTTCCATTTAATAATTTCATTCCCCGTTACAGATTCATTCTGTTGCAGAGCAAGTGTCCTGCACCACTAATTTTAGTTAATGTACACATTCTGGAGAATACCTTGCCACCTTTTCCTGAGCTCCGTCCTATCGTTCAGTTGCCAAAGCATCAATGAACTGCAGAGGGGCTAGCAAAGCATCTGCAAACAGCTCCAGAGGTATTTTGCTCTCTACTAAGAGGGTACCTGAGAGGCCAGCACAATGATCAATGATCATGTGATGATGCCACATAGTAATTACCACCACCGTCTTTTTGACCTCAGGCTTCTGACAGTCAAAAAAGATTAAATCCGCCCATTTGTGGTAAGCCTGTTTATTACTCTTTCCAACACTGAAAACTATTTTGAACTTCTAGGTATATTAGAGGATGTTTTTCTTCTGCATCTTCAAGGCAAAGCAGATAATGAAAAACAGGTCTAATCCTTCCTGGCAGAGTGTATAATTAAATCAGGAAAAACCAATATTAAAAGAACACTGAGTCTCACAAACTCAAAGCCATAATGAAATTAAGAGGGCTGGCTGCTTTTGTCCTTAACTTGCCTTGATGTACCTAGGTACTGCAATACATGATGGTGTATGGCTCTCCAGTTAAGAGATGACATTTCAATAGGTTTAAGTGGAATTTGTCTTGGCAGCCTTTACCACACTCCTGGTGCTTAACATACCTGGGGCATAGAGCAAAATGAAACACTAGACATTGTTATCTGCCACACTAGTCACTATAGAGAATGCCAACAATGGATGGGGTTACTCTGGGCTAGTGTGCACAGCTATATTGGCAAACCCTCCCAGTGTAGATGCAGTTTATACTAGCATCACTAATTGTTTTAGTCCTCCTTTGTTATGGCAATAGCTTATTCAAAAAGAATACAAACAATTCATTTATAAATACTTTTAAAATTGAGAACCCCTTTCTTATTGAGATTGTATGTGAACCTACCACAGTCACAAAGTGCAGGGATTACTAACCATGAGAGTCTATTACATCAAAGATATTTTTTATGTTCTTGTATCTGAAACAGCAGATTCCCCTGCTTTAAACAAACAAACAAACAAACAAACAAGAAATCTGACTCCCAACATCAAGAGGTAAGTGGATGGATTATTGACCAAAGAGACCAGAATGGGTCTATCATGTCAAGTCTTACTTGGGGGCACATTAATCTGAGGATTATTGACAAAAAAATCCATAAAGTCTTAATCCTGCTTGGAAACAAACACTTTAATTCCTGGATTATTAATACATTAGGCGTAATGGCTCTTGTGTTACTGTAGGTACTGCACAAGTGCAATAATTCTGCTCCAATATTTTATGCTGAAGCTAGTTGCTGTGCAATGGCCATAGCATGCGTAATCCAATCTGGCAGAGACTCTCCACATCAATGTGTAGCGTTACATTTATAAATCACTAAAAATCAGGATTTATATAGTGGAAATATGGCAGGCACCTAAGAAAAGTTAATTGGTGGCGCCTAGGAGTGGAAACTGAGTTCTAATTAACATTGTCCTACAACTTCTCCATCAGGAGACACATACCTTGGTCTTCCCCCATGAAAGATGGCCCCCACACAAATCTACCGCTGTAAACTTGTGCAAATCACTTTATTTTCTGTGCATAAATTCCCCATCTATACAATGGGAATAGCAAACAATTTCTCTCCCCCACCCTTTCTCTTTTCTCTTTTTAGACTAATCTTTTTGGGGTAGGGACTCTCTTTTCACTATATATTTGCACAGCACTAGCAGGATTAGTCTCATTTGAGGCCTCTAGATGCTACCATAATACAAATTATAATAAAAAGACAGAAAGCTAAACTGTAAATTACTGGCAACAACCAGCTTTTCCTCTGGGTTTTGGGTAGAGCCCAGCTAGTTCCCAGCATCCCACCTCTTGTCCTCAAACTCTGTGGATCCCCAGTTCCATTTCTACAAGGTCACATCTACCCCCAGTGCAAACCCTCAGGCACAGCTCCCTCCCTGCGCGGAAGTAGAAACAAGCACAAAGGAGAGTGGGTGTGTCCATTTCCTGTATCTCTGCATTCCTCTGGAGAACATTTGTTTGGTCTGGCTTGTGATCAGGATGCTCATGTTTCCTTTCCCTTCCCTTACTTTTCTCCTCTATGGAAAGCAGGGACCTGTGTGTGCTTTAAGGTCAAAAGGCTTTCTTCCTACTTCTGCCAACAAATTCTAACACAATACGGAGCCATTGGGGCCCTTCTCACTGGGCTGAATCCACCTCACTGCAACATGCCCACCTAGCTGGACTTGGCGCAAAGGAGCTGCATGGGTAGATGGGAAATAGAATCCTCCTTCCCAGGCATGGAAGATCAGTAGAGTTCTGTGCAAGATACTGCAGCAACCATGC